CGTTTTTTTTTTTGTTTTCCTCTTTTAACTAATGCTCATTACTCCCACACGAAGTAATGCACAGACAGCATTTACAGTTATAAACCCATTAAGGAACCTGCTGATAGCTACATAAAATGCTTTGCTTGTGGAGAGTCTTCTGCATGGTGCATCTTCTAAATGCCTTGTGCTCTTCTAGGGCCTATGCTTTTCAGTTAGCAATCCATCTCCAAGCAAATTCGTGCTCGTTCTCCCCTCTCTGACACCCACCCACACCCACCCTATTCCAATTAAAAAGCAGCTTCTAAAAACTAATTTAGAAAGCAATAACAGCGTTATTCTGCAATTTAAGTGCTTGAGCATTGATATGAAAAATAAATTTTTTTCCAAAATAGCCACCAGCTGTCAAACAGTTCAGCCTGCAATTCCCGGTTCAGGTCCTTTCTCCTTAGGGCTTCTTGCAGGGACAGATCAATGATCCTTCGGCTAGATGAGAGGCAGAACGAAGCGAGGCCCTTAATTAATTAAGGCAGACTTCAAACACGCAGGGCTAGTCCAGCAATACTCTGTATTACAGTGCTGACTGCACAACTCTGCTGCAAGTCTTGTTTGCAGTATAAGGCTGAGAATATTGAGAGACTCTGTTCAGGAGTTCCTCAAACACAGCTGATCTGAAATAACAGTGAAGTTCATTTGTCATCCTGGATGATGCCTCTGGCTCACTCAGAGGTACCACTCACAGCAGCCAGTATTTTTGCTGTAATACCTGATGTCCCAGAGTTCATTCAACCAGTTGTGCAATTGCTACGTATAATCCAAGGAGGGGAGCAGCACTGAAATACATGGGCTTTAAAGGTCTGAGCATCTCAGCTTTTGCTGGGGATGAATCCTGATTCCATGATGACTGCTACTTGCCCTGAGGCCTCAGATTTTAATGACTCCAACTTAACTTGTATAGCTACATAGGCTATCACTAGCCATACTGTTCCTAAGCCTGCTGTCAGCAAAGGAAACATTTCTTACATTTCTCTCAGTGTTTAATAACACCGTAACTGCTGCCACTCAGCAAAGATCTTTAAAGCACAGCATTAACAGCAAGCAGGTTCTTATTTCTCTGTACATCCTGCAAGAACCCAGGAGTTAAAGGAGACGAGATTTTCATAAACTGCCCCTGTTGAGGCTTGAAATGCAGTTACACAGCCCTTTGTGCTTACTGCCTTACAGCTAAGTGGTGCGTAATGAACACACTGCATAATGCAAACAGAAACATTCATGCCTAAATGCCCAGTATTTTGGCATTTAAAAGAAGACTGCCAACAGCTGGTCTCTTCATGTTAGGACCCCATCAACTGCAACTGTTCAGAGAATAGGCACCGCTGCTGCACAGCTCCACTCCCTGCCACTTCCCAGGCAGAATTATGAGATGTGGAGTGCAGCAGTTGGAGCAACAGCTTTTTAGGAGAGCATGACACAGGTGCATTTCAATAAACCCCAGCAGGGAAAGCTCTGCGCCTCTCAGTAGTAGTAGTGATCATTTATGTGGGCACACCAGCAAAACCAGGAGCCTTTATTTTAAGTGTCAATTTTTACCAGTACCGAAGCACACACATTTGTAACTCAAGCTCTTTCAAAAATCTAAGTAAACAGCATCCATTCTTTGGCAAAGCATAATGTCTGTCATTGCAAATCAACTGTGTGTCCCAAAATAAAATAAATTTCCATAATAAGCAAGCATGAATGACTCTCTAGAATATCCCATCTGCCCCCCATCTTGCCTAACTTTTGATGCTAACAGTTGTAGTACAGGCACAATCATGCTGTATGAGGCAGAGCTGCTGCATGATACGATTTACCTGTAATAAAGTTTCTGAGCTAAAGGTAATCAAATCTTTATGATGCTGGGGGACAAGAGCTGATCACTAAAAATGTCAGGATAACATCTCTTACCCATATACAGCACTTAACAGCTGGCAAGGTGAACTATGTTATGTTTCTCTACCTACCTTTAATAACAGGAATAGTTGAAATCTCTGCACTTCAAGGGCTCATGATGTAATTCAGTAGTCAAATCTTATGTACTAATACTGTGTACAATTAAATAAAGCATTGAGAATGACACTAATTGATGTTGGACATTTCTTTCTTGAACTAACCATACAGATTACTAAAATGTGCTCTCCTTCTGAGGACCTAATTTGCCATATTCTTCAGTTCAGATTTTGTAATTAGTGTAAACTCGTATCTATTTTAATATTAAATATTACCTATATTAAACATTGCATATATGTATTTATCTATATAGCTATGCTTAGAACCTCATCCTGCAAAGCACTGATCATCTACAAATATTCTTGAATCCATAGAAATTATGGGTCTCAGCACTTCACAGTACCTTCTAGCACCTAGCCGAAGTGATCCTCTAGATGCCAGGGATGCTTTGTAAAAGCATCAGGCAAGGACAGATGACTTTGAATACTAAATCTAAGGCTGCAAATGCTGACTGGTTTCTCCTGCTTTCCTTTCTGGTGCTGCAAGACAATGAAACATTTTGCTCTGTGGTGGTCAGTCTTACAGAATTCACAATTAATTTCCAAATATCCCTTTGTAAAACTTCCAGTTCACTGGTGAGAACACAAACCAAAGCTTCTCTCTCCCATCTTTGACTTTTTTATTCTCAGCTCTTCTTGCTTTCGTTTTTCATCTCGGTTAAGTAATTCACCTTTTCCTTGTAATCATTGTATTTGTAAGGCAACCCAAAATATCCTGCAAGCATTTTCCAAACACAGGGAAAGCACAGTACATGTCTAAGAAACAAATGTACCATACAGAGACACTCAGAGATAGAAGGTTTGGGATGAAGGACTGTGTTTCAGGAATGTATCTGCCACTTCTCTGGAGAGATGAATTATTTGTCCTAGAGGCAGTATCCATATCTGGGAAGGATGGATTTAAAAATCCCCTGTTTCTTACTTGTAACTTTGATGCAATGGCCTTTTCCTATTTTTTCTTTTAGTGGAGTTACTGAATTCCCCCGAACAGGTAAAAACTTCATCTGTCTACAGCAATGGCCAATTTTGATTCAAACTTCAGAGTTTTAGGGTGATTACACAGCCCAAGATGAACTCCAGGTAAATATTAAAGTACAAAACTATTTTCTTCAACAATGTTGTCAGGGCTGAAAATGTAATGGTGTAACCAGCAGGAAATGCTCTAGAAAAAAGTGTGCATCACGTTTTCAAGAGGTTCACTTTCAAGCACCACTTCTCACCTGTGCTAAACCTCCGATCTCTTTGACGCAGACGTAGAGCCTGAACAGGTCCAGGGGCTTCTTGCCCACGGCTGGCAGGCTGGCCACAGGTGTGCCCCTCTCCTCCATGAAGGTGAGGTACCGATCTACCCACATCTTGCGCTCCGGCTCATTTCCCAGCTCATAGACTTTAGTGATCTTCTCTCCAGTTGTGGTAGAGGAACTTGATTTCTAAACCGCAAGAAGAAAGAAAAGAGTTGGGGGAAGGGTGGGAGGGGGAGGGAAAAGAAAGTAAGAAACTCACAACACTGAAAAAGAGAAGATGTCAAACAAACTAAAGCTATCACACAACAGTCAGGAATGAAGGCTACTAGTTCAGGCACAAACAGTACATTCTGTCCATATATGGAAAATTCAGCTTCTAAACAAAGGGCCCAAACTCCCCATTTTCATATTTCTTTCACTGATCGGAACTTTGGATCCCAGAAGGCAAGTTTCTGATGTTGCCTCATGTCATTTTAATAAATGGTAGCTCTCACATAGTGATTCTCATCCACTTATCTCAAAGTGCTTTGCAAGCAATAATTTGAGTAAAATTAAGAACAAGTTTGTCCCACACAAGTTCACATAATCCTAAAACCAAATCAAATCAACCATTTCCTCTTCAGCCCCCAAAAGAGGCTAGAAAGCCTGAAAGTGTTCCTCCAGAACAGGAATTGCAGAAAAGTAGCCTAAAGTGTGATTCATGGCAGTGCACTGAGGAGTAGTATTCTCTTTTACAGAGTCACAAATGGTTATACTTTACTACCTTGCACACCACTGCTGGCCAAAAAGCCAGCTGAGCAAATGCCTACAGTACAAGAAGATTGGTGGCAATGCTGTGTGTGAACTGCCAATTAGCTGCCTGAGCCAATAATGCTGCAGGAGGTGCTACTCTCCTCCCTTGAAAGCGGTCAGAAAATATCAATCTCACGTCCTACCTTGCAAAGAGCATGTGTATTATGACCTGCTGAAAACCAGGGATGCACAGCAATCAGAGCTGAACCACCACCAGGAAAAGTGAAGGAGGTGGAAGACCAGAATTCTGTCTCATGTGGCAGAAATGTGGGAGCAAACCCCTTTTCCTGCTGCTATTCGGACTCTGCAGCTAATGAAAACTCTTGATGTCCTTTCCTTCTCCATGTGGAAATGGCAGAAAGCACTGACACTGCTACGCAAGCTGTAACTTCTCACCCTATCTTTTCTGTGCAATATAAACCTGTGAGCTGGGCTCTGTGTCATGTAGATGAGCTACACCCTATCTGAGCTGCCTTTGATCTGACAGCAGAGAGGGGCTGCTGCTACTGCAGGAAGACCCCCCTGCTTGCAGAAGGTGAAGTGATTTGATCAGCAGTGGGAAATAGGAGTGGTTCAGAATTAAACACTAGAGAAAAAGATTTATATAAAGCTTTGGGAAAGGAGCCAGATTTATGAAGGGAAGCATATCTGTATAGTAAAATTCTAAACTTTGTTGTTGATTGCGGTAGACACTTCTTTAAACTCATCTACTCAATCACTCTTTCTCTCCTTTCCTTTTCCGTATTTGAGCAGGAGACAGTACTATTCTGATGAAAACAGGAACTTACTTCTAGTTGAACATCCTCGAAGAAGACCCTATCTGCACCTCACAGATGCTACAGAACCACGCACTTGGTCCGTGGCCCCGCATAGTGCTGGTGAGGACTGGCACTCAACACCATGAAAGATGCAGAGGGGTAGCATCCATCTGCCAATGATTTTAAAAGCATTGCCACCATTCATCTTGCATGTTAGCCTGGAAAACATGACAGGCTCTGTATCTCCCTCCAGCCATTAGCTGAAACTTGGCGACACTGGAGGAGAGCCAGGAGAAAAGAGATGTGAAGCCAAGGGGGGTGACCCAGCAGTTCCGTGAGCCATTGCTGTTCTTTCCAGTGAATGGACATTCACTTCAATTAAATAAATAGCCTCCTGTAAAGTTTTCTGCCTTGCTTTCTGATACTGTAATTCCCCACAGTAGTCTTTCCTGCAGACAGGTATTATTACCTTTCTTACTTAGAAATGAGGTGCACTCCTGAATTTACTTAAGCCAGACTCAGTTGTGTTACACCACCTACTGAAGTTAAGAGTCAAGGCTGAATTTGCTTTACTAATACTAAGTGGCTGGCAGGAAAGTACTTTGACATGAGTCCTGCAGATTATGCAATGAAAGTACAAACTGCTTCTGTAATGGCAACCAGTTTACTCAAAGCATCATTTCCTTTGTATGTGGGTGTTACAGAAAACCACTTTAACTCTCTTCAACAAACATACTTTGCCAAAGATTGTTTTTGGGGGGTGAGTGGAAAGAGGGAATCAAGCAAGTCATGTTGATACTAATTTGATTTTGTAATGAAAACAGATATATAATCACATAGGCTTGAAGAGCTGAATAAAATGGACCTACCCCACTACCAACTGCAGTAGGAACTGCTCATTAGCATTAATTTTAATCTGACATGATGCCACAGAACTCTAACAAAAATGAAGGTGGGAAATTTCAGCTTTTACCCAGCAAATTTTGTATGTGCTTATATTCTAGCATAGGAGGCAACAAAACAGTTCCCGTTTCACTTTTATGGTTGCTCATGATTAAGAGTATTCAGATTTACCAGTTTTACATCTTCATTTTTATATGGTAAGATTCTCTTTTTCAAATCCAATTCAGGGCAGAATGGAAACAGTTAAGAATTTCTCATTCTGCGTTTTTCTGCTATACATCTCAAATGATGCTGCTTTTCAGCAGTGTGGCAGCAGGCTTTAAAATGACAGTATAATCTGAAAACTTTTCACAGTTTACAGAAGGTAAGAAGTGTTCCTTACTGTGTGAGCTTTCAGGTTGTCATGCTTTGTAAAATGGGTGCAATTTTCTCCTAAAATGAAATGTTAACTTTAGAAGAATGCACTGGAGAGGAGAATGCTATTCCTCAAGAGTGAAGATCTTTTTCCCTTCTCTGTTTTTATAAATGTAAACATATAAAAATGACAGATGTGTGCAAGCTAGTCTACACACAAACAAACTTCAGTTCCACATGGGAAGGTTCAGCTGGAAGCCGAAATTTGCCTATAGGTACATGTTAACCCTCAGAAAATAAGGGTTTATTACAGAATGATCCCATTAGGAGATTGTTAACTAAACTGAGCACATGCCAGGCAATGCTGGAAGAATACAGATCATGAGCTCTTCTGTTAAATTTGCTGATAATTTTAGTGATAAAAGAATGCTAGTGCGAGCCTGTGGCACAGACCTTTATCAATTTAGTTGTATCCTACTCTGCCCTTGATCCTGAGCACTCTTCTATATGGTATGACTGTCAACGTTTAAATGGGTGATCTAAAAAACCTCACCAAAGTCATGGATACTGAAGCCAATTCCCATATTAAATCTGTCTAACCCCATACTTTGTTTTTAATACACCTACCACCTATTAGAACTGTTTTATATACACACCCTTGTATGGTGAGTCTGCAGAATCTTTCAGAGCAAACACAAATTTCTGTAGGAGTTCTTTTCACATTAAGGCAGTGGGTAGTTGTTTCTGTACATATCTTTAAGCATCTATATTTATAGAACTATCTACTGTTCACTTCCCCCACTTCAACAAAGAATTTGCCAATATTACATTTATTACACAGACCTCTTTTACTCCAGAACATAGTATGCATACACAGGCAGCAAAACCTGCCTAAAGTCCAGTCGCTGGCAGAGGCTTTTGCAAGACACAATCCTTCATCAAGTTTTACTCCTGAAGGACTCTGCAGACCCCTCACAGCTAGCACCATGGAGATATAGTTCTATTCAGGTGTATTCACTGTCATGTTCATGGGTACCTACAGACAGTGAGTAGCATTTTATGGGTTTTTCATAACCTACTGTTTTATTCATGTTGCAGTGACCCTGCATAGTTCACACACACACTTGAAATTTCTCTTCTGAAGAATTTTAAAGCCACCTTGCCACTGCCAGGGATGCACACCATGTGCAAAATTAGCATAGCAGAAGCGTCCTTTTACCGATGTACCTGAAGAGCCCTCAAAACATAATGCTCAACAATTCCTTCTCCACATTTTCTCATACCTGGCTTCCATATAAAACTGCTTAAAAGGAGGATTCACTTAGTAGGATCACAGGGATACTGTGAAGTGAATCACAGACCATTCACCCTTGCTTTTATCCTCTGCTGGAATGGAAAAGTTGTAGCACATAAAACTGCTTTGGGATTTAATGAACAAACTCGGGCTGTTTTCAAGTGTAACGAAATGCCTGGAATCAATCATTCCAGTCTATGTCAGGCTGCTGCTGAAGTCAATGAAGTTATCCAATATGCTGGCCTTCACAGGTAAAAAGGGATCAACTAATTTACAGGACTTACTTTTCTATCATTCCAAATCACTGTATTTATCTGTATCTGTGTACCAAGAAGCTAACTGAAGCTAAAGATGCAGCAGCATTTGGACTGAAGGGCGTTCAGAAGAAACTGAAAGCTCAAACTTCCTTAACTTATTCTTCCAATGCTGAACTTTGGCATATTTACATGGAAAAAACTCCACATTCACGATGACTCTAGGGTTTGTTACACAGTTTATGCAATGAGCTCAGGAATGCATTATCATTTGGTAGCCTTGTAGAGGAAGAACTCAATGTGTTGCGACAGCCTGTGCAGTAACTCCTTGCTTTCCTGCAGAAAACTGCCCAAAAAACAACACCCAAAACACTACTACAAAGAAAACTAACAGAGCTTTTGGTACCACACTTTCAGAAATGCTGTTAAGAAAAAGGTGAGACTTTGTGGGAACAAGTAACACCAGCTGCCTTCTGAGACTCAAAGTCGCTGCCAAAAAACATTGAAACATTAAGGTGGTGCACTTCGTGCCATGCTGCCCCTTTGCTTGGGGGATTCATCAGATGTCTGGTTTTTGAATGGGTAGACCTTTTTGCCTCAAATTGGCCTTCCTCTGTTTGTCCTGAGATACTCTTCAATATACCACTTAGTGAAAATTAAATTGTTATCAAAGAACTGTTGCTAATTTAAGTACACATTAACATTGGGGAAAAAACCACCTATATTCCTTACCAGATTATATTTCAGTATTTTTCTATAGAGAAATTGTGATTGTTATTACTTTTGGAAGAATGAAAGAAAAGAAGAACAATATACGTTTTTCTAATTAAAAAACCAACAAAGCAAAAATGACCAAGTGGACATTTGCTGCCCATAGGCCACATCAGCTTATGCCTGTGTTCTCTTTTCTATATATGCATATGCATTTTCTATGCCTATATATATAGATACGTATAATGATGAAACTAATTTTTAGCTCCACACATCTCTGTCAGGTTCTTCTTTACAACCTGCATAAGAATGACTAAACATTATTCATCCAAAAATAGTTTTTCAAAAACATACACACATCAGGTTTTTCTACCCACAATCTGGGTTGTTTCAAAATCACTGAATGAAGCAAATCAGAAACAATTTTGTTTCAGAGTGTTGACTGTATTTCCAAATACACACTTAAAAATTAAAAATGTTTTGAAAATAGACCTGGCAGCCTCTTTGTGGTGCCAGGTCTACAATTTAAACCTTAATGGATATTCAACAGTGGAGAGTTCTCATTTTGTTTTGTTTTGTTTTGCTTTTTTTCCCCTAAATAATCCTAGCAAAGACAAGCAGCAACCAGAGTGAAGTCAGTTGTGTGAAGGAGTTTGGGCCCAGGAACAGAAATGGAATTGTCCTTAACAACACATTCGGCATGCTTGGAAGCTGATGCATTACAGGAAGGATGTTTTCTTCACAACAACTGCTGTATTACCAGACAGCACACTTGCATGATGCACGCAATTTTACTCTTTCTTACTTCAAAGTACTCTTGGGACAAATTTTGCCCTGGGATAAGCATGCTCAGGCCCCACTGAAGCCAGGCAGTGGAACTTACAGTCATGTGTCCGAGAGCAGAATTTGTACCCAGTGTTACAAAGAAAGAAAACTGTTTAGTGGATAAATAATGAATAAAAGGAATTTACAAAACAAACAAGCAAGCATTAAAGTATAATTAATTACAAAAAAAATAAACAAAAACCAAAAAAACCAGAGCCACTTACAGGGCTTGATGGAGTCTTTGGCCAGCCTGGGCTGCTAATGCTATCACTTTCATCTCCATGAAATGAGGAGATGCTAGCAGAGCTTGGGGACATTGGGGAAGGGACTGGCAGGTTGCCTGGGGTTGGGGGCTGAGAAATACCCTGAGAGCTGTAGCTATCCTGTGGTAGAGGAACAAAAAAAAAAATAATATGACAAAGGCAGGGCAAACTTTATTAAAAACAAAAAATACATCCAGTTTAACAGACTGACCAATTTTTATATATAAAATATATATAAACAGAGAGACACATACAGAAAACACACACATATATAAATATATTTTTAT